AGAGACAGGGCCCTCCCTAACTTCACTCCCTAACTTCATTAGGAGGTAGGTCTGGGTGTGAGGTTTCTGCAAGTTCTGAATCAGACCAAGCAAATCCACAGAAACACCCCACCACAGGCCTCCTGTCCTGAAACCAAGTAGAGGCCACCCTAGGAGCAGCACAGCTCCTCCTGTGCTACATCTGCTGTGAGAGGAGGCCCTAAGCCCCCACATGGAAGGTACTTCTTAGTGACACCCTGCAAACTGAGACTTCTTGGGCCCTCTAGGTGGACAGCATGGGCACACGTGATCCCACGTTCTATTCTCACAGGGCCATCCAGCAGTTCCACCTGGAAACACTTAGTATTTCTAACACCCCAGGTGCCCAGACCCCTCCACATATCTAGAAGGGTGGAAACAGGACAGAGAGGGTGGTAGTTGACCAGGGAACACAGCTGCGCTCAAAGCTGGTCAGTGACCACACAGAGCATGGTCTGAGTTCCCAGACATTGGGCAGGTTGGAGGGGGCATGAGCAGTAAAGAAGCAGGTGATTGCCACATTTCCTTAGAAATCCCAAACAACACTGAAGGCACCCAAGATGCCAGTCAAAGGTGATTCAGAAGTTATTCCCTGTGTCAGGAGAGTAGCACCAGTGATTGCAACAAGGCTTGGAAACTGTCTTACTTGATCCTGCCACTCTGGGAGACAGGCAGAGCCCTGGCTTGTAGACTCAGGAAAGTGACCATAATTCTTCTTCACAGAAGAGTCTACTGCACTCTCAGGGCAGAAGCAGCAACGCCAAAAACAAAAACGCTGAGACACCTCCAGCCAGGCCCCGGCAGAGGCTAGGCCTCCAGCAGCCCCATGCTCTGCACCAGCTCACAGACAGCAGAGACAGACAAGCCCAAATCCCTTCAGAAGTGCTGGTCTTCCGCACAGGCTGGCTGCTGCACATAGCCTCACTCTCCCCAGCTGCAGCTCTCCACTAATGCAGAGAAAGGGAACCTAGGTGWGGCCCAGGAAGCAAGTGTGGCCAGGGAAAGGCAGCCAGTCTGGCCCCAGCACACTCATGCTGAGAGCTGGGTGAGGAGAACCAAATTAGGGTGTCCAGGCAAAGGAAAAAAGTCTTGGGAAAAAGGACAGAGTAACGAGTACTGGGGAGGATGTGGAAAACCAGACCCTGCTGGTGGGAATGAAAGATGGTGCAGCTGCTTGGAGAGTCTCATGACTCCCCCAGAAGGCTAAACACAGTTACTGTGCGACCCAGCAATTCCACCACAGGGCACATGCCCCACAGAGCTGACATACATACCCACAGGGACTTGCACACCAATGCTCATAGCAGCAGTGTTCACAACAGCCAAAAGGAGGAACCAGTCCAAATGGTAGACAAGATGCAGCATGTCCATGTGATGGGACAGTATCCATCCACAGGAGGAATGAAGCCCTGACACAGCCACAACAGGGTGACTGAGAACACCTTGCTGGGTGACAGCAGACAGGCACAAAGGCCTCACATTGTGATTCCATGTATGTAAAATCCAGAAGGGGAAGAGGAGATGGAAGAGGCTACTGGTGGGCAGGGGCTGTGGTTTCAGGCACCTGATAATGTACAGCTTCTATCTGAGGTGACAATGTTTCAGCATTGACTGGCAATAGTCATGCAACTCGTGAATGCACTAAAACCTCTGAATTATACGTGGCATATGGATTCTACCTCTGTAAAGCCATTACCAAGCAAAAACTCCTTGCAGAAGGACCCAAAGCCTTAGAGCTTCTAGCAAGCAAGTAAGAAGGACTGACCAGGAACTTGCCACAAGGGACCAACCCGGMCTTGACAATAGCATAACACACAGGAGGAGGATACCTCTTCAAAGGGTGACTGGGCCAAAACCATTTCTAACACTATGGAATGAGTTCCTTTTCCTTGATCCYGCCCAAGGGCACAGGTTGCCTCTGGGAGCATGTAGCATGCCATGCTAAAGTGCCAGCTAATGCTAAAGTGCTCTGTGTTTCTGGGTTTACCTCTTTCTCTGTTTCAGCTTCTGATAGTGAATATTTGTAGGTAAAACCTACACAAACAAGAACTCTTGGGGTCCTCTGTAATTTTTAAGAATGAAAGGAATAAAAGTTTGAAGACTGACGTCTTGCAATACATTTATGGCACATTGTCTGTAATGTCAAAGGACTCCACACAACCTGAAGACCCTCAGCAACTGCAGTCTGGCCATCCTGTTGGACATGAGGATGCCAGGAGTGTCAATGAGAAGAGAAGAGGAAACTAGATGTTCTGGAGATTCCAGGGAGTTAAGAACAAAACCAKGATTAATATTTATATACACAAGCAGGGAGTTCGACGATAGAGCTTGTACCCAGCACAGCAAGGCTCTGGGTTCAATCCCAGCACCTAATAAATTAATTAATTAATTACATATGCAGTGTTTAAGAGGGGTCGCCACTACATGGAGAGGAGAAGGGAGACTTTCAAAATTCCAAAATCAGAAACAAACCTCCTATCACTGTGCATACTGTGCATAAAAGGAAAAATGTCCTCACAGTCAGCATGTCTGTTTCAAACTGGACACCATTCTCCCCAGAATCAGACTCCCTTGGAAGCAGCTAAGGCATAAGGCACAGAGAAGAGCTTGCTTTTAACAAGGCTGAATACTGTGGGAGGGGTGTTTGTCAGGAGGGGCACAAGTTGAGTGAAGGCAAGAGTCCGAGGATCTGAAACAGAGTATAAGCCAAGAAAGTAAAGTCTCCTTCACTAGAGAACCCACTGCTTTCACAGGCTTATATTTCATGAGCACCATCACCCAAGCCTCCGCCAAGGAGGGAAGCCCTAGAAGGCAAGTGAGCCAGGCTTTGCCAGGCCACTGGGGGAAAAGGGGCACAGGGACAGAGCTCCACACATTAAGAAAAGGAGCTGGGCGTGGTGGCACATGCCTATAATCCCAGAGACACAGGAAGCTAAGGCAGGAGGATCGCAAGTTGGAAGCCAGCTTTGTCAACTTAACAAGACCCTGCCTCAAAATAAAAGGGCTGGGGATGTAGCTCAGTGATAAAGTTTCCTGGGTTCAATTGCCAGTACCAAAAAAGAGAGAAGAAAACGGACAGATGTTGTTCTACTTGGCCTTGAATCTTAAGTCACCTTATGGAGTTACCCAGGTACTCTCTACTAAAACAAATGCTCCTTCCAAATGCAAACATAATGCAAAATTCCATATAGACTTTAAGAAAAAATAAAAATTCAGAGAGAGTATATCACTAAACAAAAGTGAATTAAGTTACCCATTTTAATACCTACACAGAGAAATATGTGTATACAGTTGAAATACAACAAGAATGCTAGAACTTGGAATCAAAAGATTACTGGAAAGAATGTTTGCACAGAAAAATTCTTTCCCTTTGAGACTAAAATGCCCCACCATGCTTAATTTTCCTGACATTTCTGAGGCTTTGAAGCCACAGTTAACGGATCTGAATCATCTGAACAAAACCATGTTACAGTGACATGTTACTGGAAAGCTTAGAATAGAATGCTAAATATACAAGCACACACCCATACAGGCTCTAGTAGAGAAGGATCACATATGAAACTACAAGTTGTCTACAACAAAGTCCAAAGGGAAACAGTCCATCTCCAGCAGGTAAGGATAACACAGATGCCTGGAAGTTAAGTTACAAAACACAAAAATTGCGCCCACCTTTTATTAACAAAAACCACTAGCTTGGCACAGTGGCACCTTCCTGTAATACCAGCTACTTGGGAGGCTGAGGCAGAAGAATCCCAAGTTCGAGGCCAGCATCGGCAACTTAGTGAGACTCTGCCTCAAAAGAAAAAAGGGCTGAAGATATAGCCTAGTGGTAGAGTACCCCTGGGTTCAGCCCCAGTAATCTCCCCCCMAAAAAATAACCTAGTCTGTGCATGAACTCAGCTTAATGAAACTCCTCAACCATACTTGCTGCCAGTAAAGAAACACGAACATCCCCTGAAATCTACATGAGGCTTGTATCTGCAGCACACACCTCCCGACCCTGGCACAGCCCCAACTCTTCACCTAGGGAGGGAGGGAGGGAGGACGTGGCTCCACAGCTCCATCTGTGACATTACCCTTTCTTCTTAAACAAGCATGCCACTTGGAGCCGCATTCTGCTTTATTTGGGTTGGCAGTTTAAGTACCAACACTGGGGTGGCACCATGGCTGAAATAACGAATTAGGTCAGCCTGGGCCTGCTCTGGGGAGCTCCCAATGCACCCTGGGCCTAACCCGCCTCCTGCCTTCAAGGCAGGCTCTAGGGTTCCTGGGTGGGACTGAGGACTGGTTGGGGGGCTGGGAGGCAAAGGCCTTAGTAGCCAGCATCCCACTCTGCCCTTGATGAGTTTCTCGGCACCTTTTCCTATATAAATAAGGGATATAAAGTCCTCCAGAGCTTCCAACAGTCCCCTCATTCGATGAGCAAGGAGATCACAAGTTACCAGGGGAAACGGGGGCACCTTACACCTCAAGCACCCAGAGAGAACGGGGCAGATGGACAGGGGCCATAGGATGGAGTTTGGGGACCCCGGGGTTCAGGGGCTTGGGGGTCAGGATTCAGTCAGGAGTTCCAGAATTTCTTCCAGGGTTTGTTGTGAGGTCTCAGGGTTCGGAGGCCAGAGTTGCGGGGGGCGGGGGTGCTAGAGTCAGGTTTGGGGCCAGGGTTCAGCAACCAGGGATCCAGGCTCAAGACTCATGGTTTCAGTGACCACGGTCTTGGGGCGCAGGCCAGGCTGGGAATCAGGGGTCGGCGTCAAATTCAGGRCCACGGTCAAGCTAGGTGGGGGGTCGGTGCCCACAGACCAGGCTTCTGGAGTCTGGATCGGGGCAGGGGCTGGGAACGGGCTGGGTCCTCGAGTTCTGGGCTCGCGGCCCTGACACGGGTGAGAGCCGAGCTGGGGGCGGGCCCGCGGGTTTCGCGGCTGGGGTCCGGGCGGCGGGGCGCCAGGGCCGCGCTCCAGGGCGGACGGCGCGGCACTTACGTCGTCGAAGAGCGAGCCCACGTTGGCCGTGACCAGCAGCACCGCGGTGCCCGGAGCAGCCGCCTTCCCCGCCATCGTGCCGGGCGGCGCGGGCGCTGGGCTGGGCGGCGGCGCCGCTTCCTGCGGGGCCGGGCCGGGGTCCGCGGGGCCGCGGGGCGTCAGCTGCGCCGGGGGGCGGTCCCCGGGCGCATCGCGGGCTCGGCGGGTCGGGCCGGGCCTGGCCGGAGCTCCGGCCTCGCGCTCGTCGCTCCTCACTGCTCCGCGGCCCCGCGCCCGCTCGCCACCGCGCCTCACAGCGGCCCGCGCGCAGCCATTAGACCCGCCGGGAAAGTTCCCGCAGCCGCCGCCGCGGACTCGGGCTCAGCAAGGCCCGCCCCCCGGGGGGCGGAGCAAGGCCTGCGCGGGGCGGGGCTGCGCGGGCTGAGGCTAAGGGATCTGCCTGCCTGAGCCAGGCCTGTGGGGGCCGGGCGGAGCCGGGGTGGGGCGGGGCCAGGGGTGGGCGGGGCCGGGAGTCTACGCAGGGACCGCGCCTGTTGGTGGGGCGGGGCCTGCGCGGGGAGGGGCGGAGCCTCTCCGTGACCGCGCTGCGGTTGAGCCGGCTCGGCCTCAGCGAGTCGCGTCCCGCCCCCCGCACCGCGGCTGCGCGCAGACTCCGCCTCCGCACTCTTAGACGTCAGAGCCCGAATCCGACCCCTCCTTTTAAAGAGGCTTCTCTCTCTAGGAGCCCGCGGCCGGCGCACAGCTTTGCGGCTCCAAAAAGATCCCTGGAACTCAGAGACCCTTCCTCCTGGCCCTGCAGCGCCGGGTGGAGCTGTTGTTCAGCTATGGTTCCGGCCCGTGGGGAGATGAGCAGCGTCGGGAATAGGCCGCGTCCCTGAGGGTTGGGGAGGCGCCTCAGTTCTCCCGGAGTCGGGTCTGCAGGGACCAGTCGCTCACCCCAGCCCCTCCCCGGAGAGCAAGTGTACGGGATTTTGCAACTTCCTAATATGACAACCGAGTTCCTGATGCTGACTACTTAAAAGAAATAGAAGGGGAGGGAGGATAGTAGGGGATAGGAAAGGYAGCAGAATACAACAATTACTAATAGGGCATTATGTAAAATTGTGGATGTGTAACCGACGTGATTCTGCAATCTGCATTTGGGGTAAAATTGGGAGTTCATAACSCACTTCAATCTAATGTATGTAATATGATATGTCAAGAGCTTTGTAATGTTGTGAACAACCAATAAAAAAAAAAAAGAAAAAAGAAATAGAAGGCATTTGTAGCCAAGAAAACACTAAAAGGAAAAGTTCTTTTAAGAGGCAACCCCTGAGTTAGAGGTGCTTTAGCAGCCAGCTGCTGCCCACATCCGCACCTAGAGACAGCTCTCTGGGTCTGCTTCTCTGGACAGGATGAGGCGGCAGAGCCGGGCCAGGGTCTTTTAATTAATCACCACGCAAGTTCAGGGGGCTAGGCAAGAACAAGGTGGTGCTGGGGCAGAGACCTTCCTGCTGGGGTGACAGGGAGCCATGCCCAGTCTGGGGCCTGAGGCGGATCCACCCTGAAAATGTGTATCCAGTATTTAACAATGTTAATATTTTTTCACACCCGGACTTTAAAATGGGTATCTGATACTGGGAGCCCAGCTCCAGGCGCACAGCCATGTGTCAGGGCCGTGCTCAGGGCCACCATGCTGGACAAGGTCACTCCAGAGTTTTTCAGACACAGATGTGGGGATGGAGGATGCCCACTGAGAAAAGACAAGGTGCAGGCGGGGGCGCGCGCGCGCGCACACACACACACACACACACACACACACACACACAGCTTTCCCCCTCTGACTCCAAGGAGGCCAGCCCTCAATTGCTGAGAGCATGGTAGTGTCCAATGGTATATCATGCTCATTATGTTCTATTAAAAAGAAAAACAGCACCTGTAGGGGTGAGGGTGATGGCTGGGCAGGTTGGTGAGCCACAAACTGGTAGGTGGCAGGCCAGAGAACAGTAGGCATCACTGCTTTGAGATACTAAATCCAAGATTTCTGCTTACACTGACCACCAACCTGATTCCACCAAGATCCATTTGACTGATAGGTGTTCACATTGTTCAGTATGTAACTGCCTCTGACTGAATTACATACTCCCCAAATTCATGCATTTAAGCCCTAGCCCCTGGATGTGAATATGTTAGGAGATAGAGCCTATCTAGAGATAATTGCCATTAAATGAGGTTCTAAGAGTGGTACCTGATCCAAAAGGACAGAGTCCTTTTAAAGGGAGACACAAGAGAGCTCATGTGCTCTCTACCCCCCTCATTCATTGCACACTAAGTCCTGGAAGTACACAGGGAGCAGATTTGTCTCACAAGTCAGGAACCTTACAAATGTAAGGGCATTGCTGAGGTCTGCGCCTTGTTTACAAGAGGTGGTATCACCTTCCTGTTCCCCTCCAGCCATCTTCTCCCACGCAACCCAGCACACCCTGGCCAAGTTGGGGTAGCATATCCAGCCTTTCTGGTCCTCCTTCCTTCTCTAGCCAGCCCTCTTTGAAGCGGCAACCTCCTCTCCTTCCAGACACTTACTCAAGACTCAGCACCCTCACAGTCCTCCTGTTACCGCTGTTGACGAGTCCTGGCTTCCCCAATGTTGAAATATAACACCAGAGAAGCACGCCGAGGCCAGGTCAGAGTGGAAAATAGAAGTTTATTAAACAACAGCAGAAAAGACTTCTCCCAGAGGAAGAAGGGGACCCAAGAGATGAAATCCGTGGAAGTGCGGTTGTCTCTCCATTTTGTAGTTCTTTCAGTGATGGAATATAGGTGGGAAGGCCTGAGGGGTGGGACACAGGTGGGCCAAAGAAGTAATCTGGGCCCTTCTGAGTCAGCATCTTCAAGTTGCTGTTCTTTAACACTTCTTTGGGATGGGCTATCTTCATGTTTGCTGGGGGCTGTTCATTAACACTTCTTTGGGCTTTTTCCTAGACTTCATTAACATTCCGAGAGTTGCTCAACTTTTCCRGGAATTCATTCTCAACATGGCCTCCGTTTTAGATTTCACTTGATATTAGACCCGATTTACCTAACTACACTGACTACCTAACTTTAAATCTGGCTTCACTCCTGTCCCCCCTTCATGCGTCCATTCTTAAAGACTCCAGCRCCTGTGTGGGTGGTCCTAGTCTCTTGCTGGTCCCACTTCAACACCACTGCTAAGGTCATATGCTCATTCTTCTCAACACCAATAACCACGCCTTGTCCTAGTCCAAACACCTAATCCTCTCTGTACTCCCTCTCCTTCAAGTTCACTTGTATGGGACCTCTTGACCTCCAACCCTTCATTAGCAGTCACCCCCAGCACACACACCTGCACACACAAACATGCGTGCACAGGCCTCTGCTTCCTGCCTTACTGTGCTCCTCCTGGGGGCAGAATCACCCCCATGGATCCCATCCCTTGCTTCTTCCTGTCCCCTTCCCTTGCCTGTCTGGTTCCCAAGACTGATACCTRAACTATCCTCTTCTGTTGAGCTTGCTCTAAATTAGACAAAACCAAACTGGAGAAAAACTAGAGAGCTAAATTGGAGAGCACTCCACTCCCACATCCCCGGCTTCTTCCACAAGTGCCCTTGTCATTCAAAGATGTTGGTTGTTTCTACTTGCCCCTCTCTCAAAATCACTTGCCACCACTCTGATAGATGCCCTGTCCCTTCAGTGAGGAAGGATTGACAGACTGCAATCTTCCTGCCTAGTCAATAGCCCCCCAACATCTGGCAACCTCTCTGTACTTCCTGGGTCCTGCTGCACAGATGAGGTGCCCACCCACCCAAGGCTACCCACTCCTGGTCTGTGCCATCAGCCTGTAGGTAGTCTCTTTGACTTGGTTCCTATAAAAAAATCTTCCTTCACCCTACACAATTCCCTTCCCTTGCACCTTACTGCTGTCTTGCTGTGAGTCTTGCTCCAAGTCTCCCAGAGTCTCTGCCTAGCACGCCAAAGTACCATTCTCTTCCAGACCCTCAACTCAAGCTCTGCATGCCCACACCCCACCAGGGACCCCTCAGAGAGCTCCCCAGGCCTGCTCTCAGCCAGTCTCCCAGCATGACTGACCCCTAACTCCCTCCTGGCATGTATGACATTCCTGCTCTCTGCCCCTGCCATTAATGACCACATCTGTGTTCTCCTTGACTGGGGTTCTGGGGTCCTGGTGTCCTAGGTCTTGGGCCTGCGTATGTCCTTCCTGGGGCCACACTGCCTCCTGGTTGACTTCATTGGGCACACACCTTAGATCTTGTCACCATGCCGGACTGCTGCACTGGAAGGGCCGTGTCAAAGCCACAGTGGAAACATTCCTGATTCACACATTTCCTCCGGTGCCTCAGACTTCAGAACGCCAGCTTGATGACACCAGCCTCCCGGCAGCTCAGGGCCTTGGCATGGCGTCTCTCTGTCAGCCTGGCAGGCTTCCTTTGTCATGATGCCCCTTCCTCCATGGGCCCTGCACCCACCCCTCACCATGCCCTGCTTACCCCATCACACCACAGTCTATCTCACAGCCCTTGTCACCTGCCACCTCCCTGGCCTGCTGTTGGCTGCCTCCCCCACCCCTTAGGATCAACAGCTTGAGAGTGGCCTCCTTGATCTTATGTGGCTGTCATACAGAAAATGCTCAATAAATAGGTATCATGTGTATTGGTGACATGTCAGGCCCATCACAGAGCTGGGTCCAGCGTGGTCCACTTCAGAAAAACACTGAGCACTTACATCCCCCAAGCTAAGAGATAAAATCAGGGAAAGAAGGAGCTCTTTGCCCTGTGCTTCTGCTCCCGTCTGAACATCATCCCAAGTCTCCTGTGGAATCTATGCCAAGACAATGAGAAGGGCTGCCTCCCAGGTTCAGCAACAGCAGCCCCGCCCCCCTGGTCTGCACTGGGCTAAAGATGGCAGTGGAGGCCGTGGGTGGCTCTCTCCTCCTGCTGCTGTGGTGTCAATCCTGCTTTAGTCCTGGCCACTAGACTCCATGCTCTTGGGCTCCCAGGAGGGAAATTCRGCACAAGTCTTTTGTTAAATAGCAATATGTTGTGATGTTTTTAGAACGTTTACATTAGAGTGGCACTAAATATCACATCTTTACTTATTCTAAGATGGTACCAATTTACTTATGGATTCAGAGTTATCAAAAGGTTCAGGGRTTTTGAACCTGAACTCCTCAAGGGTATCCACCATCCAATTTAAAAGTCATCCTTCAGGGGCTGGGGCTGGGGCTCACTGGTAGAGTGCTTGCCTAGCATGTGTGAAGCACTGGATTCAATTCTCAGTTCCGTGTACAAATAAATGAATAAAATAAAGGTTTGTCAACATCTAAAAAAATTTTTAAAGT